ACTGAAAGTCCAAAGTAAGCGTGTAATGGTCCTAAGAATATTAAAACAATCATTGTTAAAAAGAAAAATCAAAAAATGCTCTTATTCATCTTTGTCTGAAATTCTAACAGATAATGAAACCTGAATCCATTGATTTCAACCTTAAAGAAATATTTTCAACACAGTGCACTTGGCCAAGACAGCACGCAAAGGTCTGAGAAGGGCAAAGAAGTGCGAGAGCACAAGCAAAGTATTATATGCCATTTTCTTTAATAGAAGTGGTATTGTTGTTCAGATTCTTATTTGGGAGGCCATTCAATTTCTGAACAAGTCCAAAAAGCACGATTTTTACAAAAAATTAAAAAGGTTTATGAGAGAACTTTTTTGGATAAACAGAGTCAACGTTTTGTCACACCAACAATATTCGCCAAATCTTTCACCCTTTGACCTGTTTCATTTTTCCAAACTTGAAGAAAAACCTTAACGGAAGATATGAAGAAACAATACCAAGAAGGCATAGGAACTGCCATATTCCAGTTTACGAAAGGCATACTAAAATGTGTTCTAAAAACGATTAGGCATTGGATAAAAATAATGCTATTACTCCTATATGGATGATGCATCATAATCGCTATTGTGACGAAACGCTAGCTCCAACGATCTTTTGTTAACCTTGATCTTTACCCATTTTGTAACTGTCATGATAATGTCTCATGATTTGCAGAAAACTAAATTTAATTCATTTTATTTTAGTTAAAGTCGGAATATCTAATTTTAATATTAGATCGATTCTAATTGTGCCATAATCTTGTTTATAAAAATAAAAGATATAATGTAGTCGTCGTACATGATAAAATTTAATTTGCGATTTGTCTGTTGCTTCTGTTTTATTTTTTTTCAAAGGCAGTTTTAAATACATGGTGTCATGGAATAGGAAAATATTTATTTGATTTTACATGCAGTTTATATTTTCCTCAATTTAATTAACCGGGTCTCGTTGAACAAAACTACCGAATCGTCATTCTATTCGGGATAAATTTTAAAATTCTTTCCTTCATTGTTCATTGGCGTTCAAACACGTATATACACATACGAGGGGCTATCAAAAAGTTCGTGGACTATCACCAAAAAATTAAAACCGCTTTAGGTACATCAATGAATTTTAAAATATTTAGTTATCATCATCTTTTCTATCTATAGAATCACCCACAAATCATAAATTTTATTTTTTAATAAATTAGTAACGTTTTTGTAAGTAATGGTATGTCCAGGCGGCGCAACCTCGAAAACGACGTTTTTTCGACCTAAGTGTGACTAAGATAAACTATTTTGATATGAACATCTGACATCCAAAAATCCCGTTAATTCAGGTATATGTTGGGACACTATTGTTCCATAAAAAATGGAATTTTTACCTCATTCTGGAAGTTCTATGAATTTTATTTTAAATTTTACATGGAGTATCCAAACAAATATTGCCTCGAAAATGACGTCAAAAGGGGGAGGGGTTTCTTTTTCTAACATTTTGTAAAGTTTTTGTCCCTGGAAAAACTGGTATATACCTTAGAAATGTTTAAACTGGCTACGGAGAAATAATATGCATCCAGAATACTTGTTTTTTAATGCCAAAATAGATAAGAGAAAAGGGATGCAAAGTCAATGTCGATTTGTAGTCAAGGTTTGAAAAATCTATCACGTCAAATGATGACGTTGATCATGTACGTGTTTTAGCTATACTGAACTAAAAAAAAATCCAACAAAATATGCTGGAACAATCAAGCGAGGATCTCTCACAATGTATCAATCCATTTGCAATAATATACATATATTGAAAGCTGCTGTTTATGACATTGTACAGTCAAAAAAACGAGAGGGATTGAAGTCCCTACTCAGCTCTAGGGAATCTCATCAAAATGAGTGTACGAGGTAGAAGAAGCGGACATTGAAAAATAATGACATTGTCGGACGTCATGAAACTTCGCGGCGACGGCGCCGGGTGATCATATAATGTCGTATTTATTTTATAATTATTTGAGAAATAATGAACGTATCAAGCTAAAATTTTCAACATTTCTTTAATATTTGTTGTTTTATGTTCCCTATAAATTTTGTAAGCTCAGGCAACATAATACTTATTTTACAGCCTCAGTCCACGACCTTTTTGATAACCCCTCGTATATACGTTAAGGTTTACCTGTTGTAGTGATTTATAAATTCTTAGATGCAATACTCTTTATTTTACAAGAATCGATCCTACGTGTAGCCCGATGCAGTTCTTTTTCTCAGTTGGCCCTTTTTACAAAAATTTTTAATGCCATATGCTAGATACCTTAAGTGAATAAATAAAAATAATTTTTTCCACACTTTTAATGCCATATGCTAGATATCAAAGTGAAGTGAAAAGAATGTAAATTCTTCACCCTTTTAATGCCATATGCTAGACACCTATACTGAAGTAAAAAAAGAACGTAATATTTATGCGCCTGGATCGATAGATCCGAGGCGTATATTGTTTTTGTCATATCTGTTTGTCTGTCTGTCCGTTGTCAACTTTAACCTTCGCTATAACTTTTGAACCATGAGAGATAGAGACTACATATTTGGTAACTATGCATACTCCACTTAATAAGCTCTTTCAAAGTCATTGACCTCGTGAGTCCTTGACTATATGCTAAAAATAGCTTTAGAACTTTCGGCATAACTTTTAAACCATAGAAGATAAGAGACTTCATAATTGGTATGCATCTCCACGAATTAAGTTCTTTCAAATGGCACCAAGGTCAATGACCTTGTGACATTGACTGTGAACTATATGCTAAAAATATTTTTTTCGAACTTTGTGTCTGCCGAGCGCATAGTATTTCACAAATACATCTTGTTCACCCTTTTAATGTCATTTGCTAGATACCTATAGTGAAGTAAAAAAGAATATAAATTTTTCACCCTTTTAATGCCATACAGCTCAACGCACTTTTTAAGCTCATATGGTTTTTCGCACAAATTAAGGTCACATTTTTTATAATGTAATATTATGTATTGAGACAACAAAATACATTTTAAAAGTATCTGTTTACATCATTTGAGTTTTATTTCATTTACTAAAACCAATTCATACAAATCAATTGGTAGAACTTTGATATATTCTTGGCTGAAAATTAAAATAACAACTATTTCCATTTGATGTTTTGTAGTTTCTTGCCAATTGCAGCGGTCTTTTTATAAAAGCAGTAGCTCTTTGCAGAAACGTAGACACGGGCACAGTACAGCTACTTGTAACTTGTATTTTCTGTACATTCTGACTCTTTAGCGCAGGGTGATAACAGTATTTTTCATCTGTTTGACTGCTTTGTATGTTAATAATGTGTCATTTTTCAGAGTCACCTTCTAAAATCTAGAATGATGAAAGATTCATCCCACAGCAACATTGTAACGTTTCAAACCGTAAATGCAGAATTTTCCTTTTCATAGAAAAAATTTACTATTTAAAAAAATAAAAAATTATACTTCATTATCCTACCCTTTAGTATGGTTTCTTTCTGCAATGTTATCCCCTTTTCGGTGCTACATTTCGACAAAACCAAGAGGAGTATGGTAAATGTGCAAAGAATTAAAAAAAAATACTCACCTTTAAGAAGAAAATTTAAAATTTTCAACTACATGTACATTGTATCAAAGAAAGCACGTTTTATTTAATTTGTAAAAAAAACCTATGGTAGAAGCTTATAGTAGAAACATCGTACCATTTATTGATAAATTCCCCTCTAAAACATCCACTTTGGAAAATTAAGATAATAATTTTAAAGGACATCTATACCTGACATTTTATATGTAAAATAACTTAAGGCTATGTCATCGTACTGAAGTTCGAATGTAGTAATTTTTATTACAAAAATATGACCTTAATTTGTATGAAAAACCGTGTGAGCTAAACAGTGCGTTGAGCTGTATGATGGATACCTATGATGAAGTAAAAAAGAATCTAAATCATTTTTCTGATCACATTTTGTCCGTCGTCCGTCCGTTTAGCTGTCTGTCTGTCCGTCTGTAAATTTTTCACATTTTCGACTTCTTCTCAAGAACCACTGGACCAATTTTTATCAAACTTGGTACAAAGCATCCTTGGGTAAAGGGAAATATAAATTGTTGAAATGAAGGGACAGGTCCTCTCACAAGGGGAGATAATCAAGAAAAGACAAAATAGGGAGGGGTCATTAAATTTTTTTCTCAAGAACCACTAGGCCAGAAAAGCTGAAATTTATGTGGAAGCATCCTGGGGTAATGTAAATTCTAAATTGTTCAAATCATGACCCCGGGGGTTGGGTGGGGCCACAATGGGGAATCAAAGTTTTACATTGAAATATATTGGGAAAATCTTTAAAAATCTTCTTCTCAAGAACTACTCGGCCAGAAAAGCTGAAACTTATGTGGAAGCATCCTGGGGTAGTGTAGATTTTAAATTGTTCAAATCATGACCCAGGGGGGTTACGAGTGGCCACAATAGGGAATCAAAGTTTTACATTGAAATATATTGGGAAAATCTTTAAAAATCTTCTTCTCAAGATCCACTGGGCCAGAAAGGCTGAAACTTATGTGATCCTGGGGTAGTGTAGATTTTAAATCGTCCAAATTATTACCCATGGGGTACGATTGGGTCACAATAGGTATTACAAGGGGGGGATTGGTTAAGAATAGCATGGTCAAAGCTTCTCAGGTGAACGATGTGGCCCATGGGCCTCTTGTTTTTTTCAGTGATACAGACCTTGTCAAAAACTGATATCATGTCAAGACATCAAGTTTTTGATTCAGGTTTTATTACTGGGTAATAAGAAAGGAAAAGAGAGGGAGAGTATGGCAGATGGGACCAAGGAAATATCTCTAATTACATGTAACACCTCTGTAGCCTTTTTCCTGGCCAATCCATAATGCTCCGCAAAAGTAGGCGACACTGGATAACAATTAAGAAACTTTCTAGTCATGGTTCTTAAAAGTCAATCCACATGCAAGAAAAATAACTGCAAATATTAAACTGACAAAATCTATATTTTAAACTTGATAATTTAAAGAAGATCAGCAAATTTTACAATAAATGCACCGTTAGCCCATGTTGTTATCTTTAAAAATGCCTACTTTTTTCATTTTTTATGTTTACAACCAAATCATTCACTTGTAGTTTTACTGAAACAAACATTTAAAACTCCAAGAAAAAAACGTCGTTTTCACCATATTTTTCCTCCCTCTGAATATTGAAGTTCAAGGTTAACATAAAATTCACCGATTATTTCTGGACGGTACAGATGAAGCCTCATTGAGTTCAATCCACATCTGTTTTACATCTTGTGGAGAAAAATGATGTCCGGTTATCCTATCCCTAAAGTTTGTCCCGTCGATTTTGACACTACTCCTTCCTGAATCAAAGCCAGCTATGTGAACAGCCTTAGCACCTATTGCTTCTCTACAAATCCCAGTGATATAAACATCTTCTATAAATAATGACGGTAGGTACTTTGTTGCGTTAAATAAGGTTGTTATGATATCACCTGTGATGACGTATGCCGTCCCACTAATATAAGGTGGATACTTGTCTTTCGGATATTGTTTCTTTGAAACATACCATTTTGATCCTGGGTCTCGAAATGGCACGGAATGCGAATTTTTTACTCCAAGTATGGAATTTTTGGGTTCCATTCTCCGTAACAATTTGACTAAATTTTGAATATTTATGAACATATCATCGTCTGCTTTTAAGACATATTTGACAACTGGACAATTTAAATTTGCCCATTTTATCAATGCCACAGACTTGTTGGTTAAATTGTCATAAGATTCCTGGAAGTTCTCTTGCACCAAATCTTTATGAAGTTTTCTTTCTTTCTTCAGCTTTCTTTGAATTGTGATATTATGAACCTTCCCCGTCAGAAACACCAGCCTCGTCTTGGCATCAGTACTGTTGATATGTCCCCATGTTGTCCTTATTGCATCCCTGTGCTCAAAATTCCACGCTGAACTCGGAACCAGTATGAGTAATTCTACTTCTTTTTCACACTTTTCTGGAATAACTTGCATCGTCTCTTGGTAAGACGAAAAAAGTTTGGAAACTGTTTCATCCTTTGCGTTTAAAACTGAGATGGAGAGAGCTTCTATCAAATTTTGTCGCTGAGAATAGAATGAAGAATATAAAAGTAATGTGACGAAAATGAGAGTGTTTGTCGTCAGTAACAGTAAATAACATTTACGATGTCTGTTGAACATATCTTCTGTGACGATGCGTAATCCTCTAGCACTACGTTGTTACTATTGTCTGCATTCCTTCGATTTTACCTGTAAATAAATATAAGACTGCAGTTAAGATACGTGTCAATTTAATCAAACCTGAAAATCATTCGACTGTGCATAACTTGTGCATTACAGTTGGGAAAACAAGATGTGTTTGTGAATAGTGATGCCCCGTATATATTTGACAGCTTATGGCGAAGGCTGAAGCAATTCAAACTGCAAGATGGAAAGGTTATAAAATTTGGTATCGAGATGAAGGTCTTGTCACAACCAATATACCTGTGACATATGAAAGCCCTAGTATTAACAGTTTAAAAGTTATGAGAAATGTTAAGAGGGATGAAGACGGAAGACCATAATAATAATTATAGAGAAAAAACCGAACGAAAACAATAAGCATTTAACCACAGAAAGAATCTTCTGCATGTGTAAAGTTGTATACATGTATTTAATGGAAAAAGTGACTTATAGGTCCAATTGGCCTTTGAAGAGGGCGCGACCCCTCATTTGGACAAACTTGAATTCCCTTTAGTTTACCTAAGGATACTTTGTGGCAAGTTTGGTTGAAATTGGCCCGCTGGTTCTCGAGAAGAAGATGAAAATGTGAAAAGTTTACAACGACAACGACAACAACAACGACAACAACGACAGACAACGGACAAATTATGATCAGAAAAGCTCACTTGAGCCTTTGGCTCAGGTGGGCTAAAAAGCCTGGAAAACGTTAGAAATTTTTGACTAAAGGAACATCATTGAAGAATCAAATTTTGAAAAATGATGGACAAGGATAAGAAAAACAAGAGGCTCCTGGGCCACATCACCCACCTGAGCATATGGGCTTGTTAAAAAACACAAATCAGCTCAATACTGAGAAGTTTACTTGTTGGGGGAGGGGGGATTGAATTTTTTAATACTTGAAAATGTCATTATATCAATAAAACAGGCATGTGTAATTTTGCCATACTTGATAAGAAGAATTATAAAGATTTTTTTCATATATATTTCTATGCAAAAATTTAATTGCCCATTATGGCCCAAACTTACCCCAGAGGTCATGATCTGAATAATCTTTGTCTAAAGAACAGTAAAGCCATGGTTTGTCATTTTATTAGAAAGCATCCTCAGGTAGTGTAGATTCAAGTTTGTTCAAATTGTACCCCTCCCTATCCTTACCCCTTCTGTCTTTAGGGGTAGGTCCGGACCACTCATGCATTTAAGCTTTTAATTTGATACTTTTGGGATTTAATACTTGTCTAATATTATTGTTTAGAAAACAATTTTTGAAACTGTAAGTTTGCCATCTTTCATATCAAATTGCTGAACAGAGGACACAACTCTCCCCCGGATTGGATTCACTGGGCGAAAGAACAAAGATCATTTTTAACATCTCCCTCCCTTCACTTAAACAATTAATCCAATATTGAAGATAAAACTTCTGGCAAGTATTTTGTCTTCGTAAACCGTGTACAATATATTATATGTTACTGCAAAGAAATTTCCAAGATATACGTTTAACTTGGATGATGCATCTAGGGATGGACACTACCAGACTTGCTTCGGAATCGGATCCGGAATTTGACGTACAATTTCCAGATGAATGCCCAGGTTAAAGTTTTTGAAGTATGTCCATTTCCATTAATTATATACATGTATATAAGCCCCAGGGCTACCTGGACAAAGCTTTCATGGATAATGCCTGTAGGGATGCGATGAAGACTACCTGCCTTTCTTCAAAGCGTAACAGATGGACGGACATCCCGATTACTATATACCCTCCCGCTTTTCAAGCCGGGGTATAAAAACACTTGGTCGTCGTACATGGTAAAATTTAAATCGCACTTTGTTAGTTGCTTTTGCTCGTTTTTTTCTCAGATAGTTCTAAATCCATTGTAAGCATAATGTCTGACATGGAATAGGAAAATATTTATTTGATTTCACATGCACTTAATACTTTACTGAGGTTAATTAACTGTGTCTCATTGAACAAAACCACCGAATCGTTAATCTATGCATAATAAATTTTAAAATATTTTCCAACTTTGTTCATTGGCGTTCATACGTTTAATTACATAGGGTACTGGTACTTTGGTAACAGAAACATTTACAGTCTGGTGCTCATGACTTGTCTACTCCAAAGTACACCCAATGAAGACGATTTACACCTTGAAAGCAAGTGAAATTGTTGTCAATATGTATACGTCAGAATTTCAGCCAGATGTTGCGGGAGATTCTTTTAAAAATAAAAAAAAAATTCTTGCGATTGAGAACAATATTTTAAATCAATAAAGATTAGGAACAAACTATTTTTGAAAAGGCAAATGATTTTGTAACAGAATATTTATAGCCACTCATAAACAGCCTCCTCAATTAAATACCTAGTCATTCCCTTAAACGGTGACTTACATGTATCAACAACACTTGTCAAACTTGCTTATTCTTAATCATTTTATAAAATACCAAGTGTTTCGTTTTTCCGCAAAATACACAGAACACTGGATAACATCAACAGTATTACGTGCATTATGTACTGGACTATTCTTATGTGCTTTCGATTCCGCTCCACGTGCATGTTCATGTATGACAAATTGACCTACAGTATTTTCGGAGTATATAATATTTGGCCATGCATTGTACTCTTAGTACATGTATATACTATTAGTATAATGTTCTCTCTCTCTTTCTCTCTCGGAATTATTTCAATGATTTCTGCACGAATTGTCTCACGCCACTCGATCCGCATTTATTATGTCCAGAATTTATGTGCAAGGATCGTATACATGTATTTTGGTCATTGTTTCCGAAAGTGTATTTCAGGGAAAATTCTTAGATTCTATAGGCAAAATCAGGTGTTATTTAAAAATGTACATATGACAAAGCTTCATATGTCATTTCTTTTTAATATCAAAACGAATGTCACGGCAGGTGCACGTAACGCGTGCTTAAAAGAGAAAGCAGCCATTACCCTTCCCTCTAAATTTTATGAATGAAAAAGTTTATCCTATGTGGAAATTTTCATCCTGATAAATATGTTTTTTATTATATGGACCCTAGTCACACTGCAAACTACGAATTCACTCCTGGAAATACATTTTTATATGCAAAATTGAAACAAAAACGCATGTAGGTAAGGTACTAATTGTCTTAATTTTAGCAAATTTGTAGTCTACAATCAAGGAGGAAAAACTCATTGTCAATTATTTTCCAATAAATAATTATTTTCTTAAAACAGACATTTATTCATCAAGGAGACTTGCTATCAGTCAAAAATTTTACTTCCTCTGCAAGTCCTGTACATTGATAAAGTTGGTGGATGTTGGAATTCCATTAATAAGTAAAATATATAGAGACTGAGAGAAGTTGATTGATTTGTGAACTTGCTTTCCACCACGAGGCGCGACAAATGCACATTTGCAGAACATAAGAAAGGGGGGGGGGGGTTCCTTCCAATTACTAGAAGTTCAGTGCCAAATTTAAAGTTTCAATGGGTATAAATTATATTGCAGCAATATGTATTATATGCATCTTTAATGCAGGGTCAGAGAGGACAATTACTTTGATAAAGCTATTCTGGCCATTTGTGTGAGATTAATAGAAAGATGCAATCGAATCTGTTCCTCAAACTGCTCCAAAAAGAATAAATTCGTTTGTAAAAAAAAAAAAAAAAAAAACAAGGACAGAAAGTATCTTCGTCAAACGCCTTGATTTAATTTAAGTGTGAAATAATATACTCTCGTCGCGGGTTCGAATCCCACTGTGAGACGTGGAGACCGATCCTTCGGATGAGACCGTATAAACGGAGTTCCCCTGTCGCAGTAGGCGCTGGCACGAAAAAAATTCGTACCCGCTCAATGGCCCTGAGTACAGAGTATAGGACATTTTTTTCCACTGGAAAGCGGTGGTGTTTCAATATGAGTGAAAAATTCTCGAGAGGGACATTAAACAGTACAACCAATCTCTTTCTCTGGAAAATGATAGGGCCGTTTGTTATCAGAATGCCCCTTATTAGCAGACATAATTTCTGTATTCCGAATTTATTCAAATTCGTATACATGAGACACAGGAAAGTTTTTCTGTGGCCTTATAAATTTAGATATCGACAACGTACATGTATTATTAATTCGCAACAGTTACTTTCACTCACATGTCGACTCGACATACCATGATCATGAAATTGTTCAATCACAAAATGACGAAAAACAAAAACTTCTGAAACAAAAAAGCATTCAAACTATCAATGTGATCTGAACTGTGTATTTCTTTTTTTTTTTTTTTTTGGGGGGGGGGGGGGCATAAAAGTCTCTAGTATTAGTTGAATCTGAGTTTTCCGTCGAGATTTTACAAGCATAGACCTGTATACAATAAACCCCCTCCCCTAAAAAGAAAAATAATCTGACAAAAATGATTGTAAATAAAGAAACAAAACATCTCCTTTCTCTTTTTAAGGGGGGAGGGGTAATAAAAACCTGATTTTTCTTCTAAAATGCTAAAAGTATCGATCATAAAAAGTGACAATAACAATGTAATAAAATAGAAATCACTCATTTAATGTCATTTGTTGTCAGAGGTGATTTTTCTTTTGCAGTTTTTACAACACAACCATGGAAATGTGAGAACAAAATAATTGACGTTATAAAATAAAACACAGCGTCATGACGAAAAAATTATATTTTTTATTTGAAAAAATTCACTAATAATTACTCTTTGAACAACAACATGTTATATATCATTAGAAAGAGGAGAAATTTTTCTATCAGGATCACTAAACAACTCAAAATGTCAAAATTTTCACTTAAGGGTGGTTTTTGCTTGACGGTCATCATTTATTTAGTTATAATAATTTAAAACATAATTAATTCATCTAATCACAATCAACCCATCAAATACTTGATAGTTATTAGTAATATCTAAGTAATACATTAAAAAAATCTGCAGGTAAACCATCTGGACATTTGTCCAGTCACATTGAATTTTCGTTATAATAACTAACAAGGTGAAGATGGTTTAATACACTTTAAAAAGTGTACTTGATTATGGAAAAGTGTACACCGGGTGTAAGGTGTAGACAAATCAAGCGCCCAATATTTGTGATTTATGATATATAATAAAATTAACAAGGACCTACGTATAGCCTAATGCAGTTCTTTTTCTCTAGGCCTATATTTTAAAAAAGAAATTCACCATTTTAATACCATATGCTAGACACCTATTTATTTAGTGAAGTAAAAAAAGAATCTAAAATACAGACCTTGTATAAAAGTTCTTGACACAGTTTCCTTCCTGACTAGACGCGTCCCGAAACACCAACTGCTATTTTTTAAATTGTCAAATATGATCTTCAAAAGAAAACATGCTATATGCCCTATAAAAATGATTTGTTCCAATTACACCCACTGTATTGTCAGACCTTAAGAAGATATATGAAGCATAGTTTAAAACTCTCACAGTTTCATAGTTCTGTATTCACCATTTGGACCATACTCGACTATTTGTGATTACATTTTTTTTTACTCCAGCGAACTCTTTTGTAATTCATAGTTCCGACACGTCAATCAAACTTATTTTATTAGCCAATCAGATTGTTCCGTATAATTAGTCACAGAAGCGCTTCGATCGGCCGCCATGTTGTCCCACAAACAAACCTTTGACAAGTTGTGGGAAGTTTAAGTTTTTGTTAAAAAATGGTATTGCGGTGTGCGTGGGGAACCTGTAATGTTGATGAGAGATATCCTGAGAGGTTACAGAACGGTGTTAAGCTTATTTTGTTCCCAAAACCGAAAACTAATCTCCAGAAATGTCTTCGGTGGATCAAGGCTTGCGGACGTCCACACGAACAGTTGAACATTCAGAGAATAAACAAACACAAAGCTGTTTGTTCAAAGGTACAGCTGGTGATAATTTAATGTTTATGACTGTTGTGCACACTGAGTCTTAATTTATTAGTTGTATAAAACCTCAGAACTTAGGAATATACCATACCTGCATACCGTACAAATTCGGGATGCATCGATTTTACACATCTTTGTAATAAAAAAAAATGGGCTGTTATTCATATTGCAAGAGATGGTAATTGATATTTATGTGTTTAAGTGTTGTTAATGCTTACTATGTAATAAATTTTAAAACACCGTAAGGTTTGAGGCCAATGTTATTGAATTATTTACAGCATTTCGTGGGAGGTAATGGACCAACTGTGGAATTTCCTGACCCATTACAAGCTGATGGATCAGCTGTTCGACCGACCAGGCCACTTCGCAAACGGTCTAGCACATACGCTGAGAGTAACCCAGTGTCAAAGAAAAAAAGAATTCTAAGGTAAAAACCCACAAATTGACAAATTTGAGGTTTGGGGAGGTAATGACCAACAAATTGACTAATTCCATCATTACGTCGATCACAACATATTCATTGTAAAGCCTACCAAATACCATCCTGTAAAAGTGATTTCCCTCGTACCATCAAAGAGTGAAAAAACATACCATCAGAGATAGTTGCTGCAAATACACCAGAGACCTTAGGTCTCAGGTGATCACGTACCTTAATCTATGATTATTATTTTAATTTTTTTAATTTTTGTAACTTCATGCACACTACATTTGCCATTATAATCAGCTAGTTGATTGTGGACATTACATGCTAGAAGCAGAATCTTTCTTCCTACATATTTTTTTTAATTTTTTATAGTACAACAGATATAGAAGAACATGGAGAAGATGTGAACTCAACAACAGAAACCGAAACGTCAAACAACATCAACAGTAGTAGCAACATATCTGTACAAACAGAAGAACCTTGTAAGCATTCAAAAGTTTCCAAGTTAGGCTACCTTAACTTAATTTTGTACTGTTTGTTTAGCAAGAAACGGCTTTGCGTAGGTTTTGAAAAAAACACACAACTTTTCCAGCATAGTGGTCATAAATGGAAGGTCAGGCTGTATTCTCTCCACAAAGATATCTTTCTGTGTGAAAACAACAAAATCACAAAATGCACAACCTGTGATCATGAGTTGGCCCTGAATTTGTGCATAATGTGCATGAGTTTTTTTCAATGTGATTTCATTGTTTTTACACAAAAAGAAATCTCGCACATTCCCGCATGCTTCCGCAATTGTCATATTCCTAGCAGAATATGGACATTTAATTTCAATCAGACCGCAGTGACCATTGTCACACACCTTACCATCCGGAGTTGCCCCTAAAAAGGCAAACTCCTTGTTAATAACTAGCCCACAGGTGTGGATGTGCCTAGCTGGAAAGTCTTTTAAGTATCTAGACTTTGCATCCTTTTCGTGGATTTTACCGTATTCTAAGGATGGAGCGGAAATCTTTTTAGTGTTAAATATGCTTCCCAGAAACTTGTCATTAGGGGTCGACTTTCTTTGCAAAATTTTCCCAAAATTAGATGCAGTCAAACGATTCTTTCTTTCATTGTACCATTGTGCTGAATCACTTTGTTCTCTTGTATACAATTCAATTTTAATGGGATCACAATCTTTGTATTTCATATTCAAATCTATATACTCTTGTGGCAATGGTACTGGGGCTGGGTGGAATATATCAGTATTGCCACAACCATCCGACATGGGTGGCTCAACCTCCTTAATGTTATTTGTCTGAAAAAAAACTCCACTATGTATTAAACTGAAATAAGTCTTAGTAAGTATATGATTAAAATTTATCTTCTATCATTCTAGGGATTTCTCCAATTGAGATGTTTGCAATGGCCACAGAGCTACACATGTTAAGAGAAAAAGAGACGCAGTACGAAGCTACAATCTGCACTCTGAAAGAGGAAATAAAGGAACTTAAAGACAAACTATCATCTGAGGATCAGAAGCCATCATTTGGAGTCGACGAAGTGATAAGAAGAGAGGGAAAATTGAAGAATTTGTTTAAATATTACACTGGCATTGTATATATAAGATTTGCTGGTCTCTTGGCATTTTTAGTTTCAGATGAATCCTCAGTAAATTATGAAAAAGGTCGAAAAGACATTAAAAAGTTGTCACTGCAAGATGGACTCTTTTTAACTTTATGTAGACTGAGACATAACTTTGGTTTGAAAGATTTGTCAGTTAGGTTCAAACTATCACTGCAGTCATCTGGAATTGTATTTAATACTTGGATTTCATTGATGTATTATAAGTTGGGCCAACTTTGTATTTGGCCTCATCGTGATGTTATTATTAATAACATGCCTAAAGATTTTAAAAATGATTACCCCACTACTTTGGTAATTATTGATGGTACTGAATTTAGAACACAAGCACCATGTGCACTTGGTTTGCAAAGTCAGCTTTACAGTGATTATAAGTCTAGTACTACTTTGAAAGCTTTAATTGGTTGTGATCCAAATGGTTCAGTGATTTTTGCATCCGAATTGTTTACAGGATGTATATCAGATAAACAAATTTGTGAACAGTCTGGATTTTACAATGTTCTTGAATCACTAAAATTAAAAGGTTATGTAAAAGATGGGGATGCTATTATGGCTGATAAAGGGTTTACTATTAGAGAGGAATTAAGTAATTTAAATTTGGTATTGAATATTCCACCAATGGCTTCTTCAACATGCCAGATGTCAGTTTCAGACACTGTGCTTACTGAGAAGATTGCTAAGCATCGTGTGCACATTGAAAGACTTATCGCAAAGGTTAAAACTTACAAAATGCTTTCTGTTCGCATTCCTACATCATTATTTAAAAACATTAACAAAATTTGGTCTGTATGTTGTCACTTGACACTATTTCATGATGTGTTTGTAACAGACAGTAAACATGGTAAATAGTCTACTTTTTTTACGAGTTAAGCATTTCAGTGTATTGACACATATCATTGACTTTGGCATTTAACTTGTGATGCGGATAATTTATATACATCATTTAAAATTATTAGCAAATTTTCCAACTGCATTTATATTTAAATATTTATTGTGGTTATTGTAAACATGTACCTGATATGACAATATTGAGCCTATCTGCACATCACCAAGGGGGGTATTTACTAATGGGTGATCTGCAGACACAGTATATTCCAGAGGGGTTCCTTTTAGTGAACTCAGCTGCAGTATGTCATTTTTGGACACTTTGGGTAGACTGATATTAAAATATGACGTATGAATTAATATTTTTTCAAGTTGTGATTTTTTTGTACATTATTATTATTATTATGACTGATCAATTAAAAAATCTGAGCTTAAATTTGTACGAAATTGTAGCCATGAAGAATACTGTATTATTAAATATAATGGTTTTATTTCCAAAAGAAAAAAGTCTTTGTCTTTTCACATACTCTTCATTTAAGTCTAACTGGCATGTCACAGGTTTTCTTTTTCTTGATTCAGTTGGTCTTGCTACCACCACATGATTAATAGGGACAGGCTTGATCTTTGAGCCCCTGGGCACATGCCACTGCTGTGGGATGCTTGTACAACTTTGTTGTTCAGGCACATTTGAAAAATTATGGAGTTTGAACCCCTGCAGACTCTTTATTAGACCAACTACATGGGAACAGTGACCATTTAAACTACAAGGAAAAGTTAAACCTAAATTTCAAATAGCAAAGTGGAAGAAAATGGAACATTCTTAAGCTTCATAAAACCAATTGTCAGCATGTCTGACGATTTAAAAAAAATATTTCTAATCAGACTCATAAGGTAACGAATCAAATTATCAGTAATAAATAAATTACCAACTTCAAAGGAATTTGGCTAGGCCTAGGAAATGAAGAAGTTTGTCTATATAATACCTATTGTGTATTTTGACTGAATTTATTCATTTTATATCATTTAATAAAAATCCTGAACCATGCAGTTGATTATTTATCACGTCAACATATCTGTGAAAATTAATTGGGTCACCAATGTTTACATTCCGATGGGCCTTGGCCTAACGTAACCATGATAAATAACAAGATTTTCTTAATAAATACAAAAATATTTGGGTGATGTATACACATACCCAACTTTACAGGAGCACTGAGACTCGGTTATCGCATTTATTTTAATTTCCAAACTAAGTTGGTGCGGCGATTGATTTTTTCTCATCGACCTCCAGCATCTTGCAGCGACTTGTACGGAGTTATCCAAACTGAAAATCTTAATATTATGGATATACCCTTGGGTAAAATAATTCAAACCCTTCTGTAAAACTTTATCTGATAATTTTGAATTGTTGGGTAGGTATTTCACACAGAAATCGTCTGGAATTATCTTTAAACTGTCGGTCGCCACCGAAGATGATGCAGCCTGCATCGCCATAATGTGGGACTTGGTAACGGTAGCTAAGGTGGGCGGAGCTACGGAAGACAAGTCGGAACTATGAATAGAAAGTAGGATAGTGCGGCAGATGGGACAAGGGGAATAACTGTAATTAACATCAATAAGCCTTTAGCATTCTCTATCCAGAGTTGTCTGCCGCTAAGCTTCTAACGTAGCGTGAACGACCACCCTCATCACTATATTTTAAAAAGATTGAAAAAAAATGATAAAAGAAGAAAGTCTCTCTCTCTCCTTAATATAAT